TTTCCATTATGATCAAGGTTAACTTTTGTTTCGATCGGTCTTAAACCACTCTTAAGTTTCTGTTTATGTTATCGAGGTTTAGAGTTGGATTATTATTCAATTTTCATGGAATCAGGTAGAAATAATCTTGCTATTTGTCATTGTTTTGTCGAATAATTAGATGCTAATTTCTGGATCTTTATTTATGTTGTTTTTGGAGCTTTCCAATACAACAAGTCTCACAGACTTATGATCAATGATAATATCATTCAAAATTGACCTTTTGTTGTAAAAAACTGTCATCCTCAATCTTGATCCGTGTCAAGATTAGAAGCAACCCATCTTTTTGCCAATTGGTTTTAAACAGCTCAAATGATCCTTTACATTGTTAAATAAAATGATCTTTGTATTATGTATACAGTTTCTCTTTAACAAACAACTTACAAATCTATTTCAATGGGAATGCAGACTGTTGTTCTTAAGGTTGGCATGTCATGTGGTGGCTGTGTTGGGGCTGTGAAGAGGGTTCTTGGCAAAATGGAAGGTTTGTTCCCTAAATAACAATCAAGATTTGAAATTTGTAACTCAAGATATTCCAAATCAGATTCTAAGTTTGTTATAAAATTAATAATAATTCAGGGGTGGAAACTTTTGACATTGATCTTGAGCAACAAAAGGTGACAGTGAAGGGTAATGTGCAGCCAGATGCAGTTCTACAGACTGTTTCCAAGACAGGGAAGAAAACCGAGTTCTGGCCAGTTGAAGCAGCATCTGCTGTTGCTTAATCTACAAGTAGCAATGGATTCTGGAACTTGATATTACATTCTGTAGTTTGTTTTTATTTGTGTTTGTTCTAATTAATGTAAAGCTAAAACTATTATGTCACTATAACATTTGGTATTTTGAACTTGAGAATAAATGACAGCATAATTCTTATGTTGTGATATCTCAGATAAGCTTGGTTTCATCTTTATTCTCTGTGTGTTTAAATTTAATTGAAATTTTTATTAATCAATAATGTTGGATGTTGGATTTGGGAGCTTCATGTCATATACACCATTTGGCTTAGACCACTAGGGCCTAAGGGAACATTCTATTATATCCAAAACAAATGGCCAAAGGAATTTGAACATTTGAATATTTGATCAAAGACCTCAATGTGAAGAAAGAAAAAACACAAAAGGATAGATCATCTTCATCAATTGTTAGCAATAAATATGTGAAGGTGTTGGATTCAGGATCTTAGTGTCATTTAACATCAAAAGTCAGGGATCTTTTGTATGACTAAAAGGAAAGTAACACTACCGTTTTGGCAGATAATTATTGTGAGTGCGAAAAAAAGACGTGAAGAAGACGAAGATGCTGATGAACAAGATAGATGGTTAGAAGATGGAAAAGCCATCCCATGATTCCTATTAATGCTCTTGTGCATATTTGTATTGGGCAAAATATAAGGAAACAAATATACCACTAGAATAACTAATGGGCAGTTGCTAATATAGGCTCCTGTAAAATTTATAAATGACACCCCCTCATACTCAAGGAGGATTGTGAAAAATGACTAGAGTCTCGGCATTATTGGAGACCTAAAGAAGGTGAACCGGGTGACCAACAACACGGATGAAATTTGAACCCTCAACTTCAAGGAGGGAGGGTAACACCGGATACCGTTGGGTTAGAAACCCTTTGGTACTAGTCGTTATTCACATAGAAAATACTTACCACTCCACATCATCTATATAATTTATTTTTTTATTTATTTTAATTACATAATTTTAATAAAAAGACAATCTTTTCTTTAAAACAGCATAATTTTTTTAATTACATAATGTTAATAAAAACACAACCTTTTTTTAAACAAGATAATTTTGTAATTACATAACTTTAATAAAAACACAACCTTTATTTTTTAAAAATAGGAAATTTATCATTGAACAAAATAAAAATTACATTACTAAATGGAAAATAAGAATTACATTAATAACCCAAAAACGATAAAAAAAAATGTTATGCTAAAATTAAAAATTACATTAAAACGTAAAAATTGGAAACCGACTCGTCCCCATCATCTTGGTTATTTTTCCTCACATAAATGTGCGCGTATCGAGTGTTTTATATATTGTCATTTCTTCTTGAGCATACCAAAAGCCCGTTCAACATCCTTCATTGTAGATTCTTGTGCTAACTTGAACAATTTCATTTTTTCATCTTATGGATATGTATATATGATTTGACAGTAACATACTCTGGATATATCCATCTCCAAGGTAATACATAAATTTGTATTCATTTACATTCACAACATATGGAAATTCATGTGATTTCCCTACAAAATTCTATTGAATATCGATGACGCATATAGTACATTCAAGTCAAGTGACCTTGCCATGCCAAAGAAAGCATGCCAAAACCATAGATCGTTTAACACTAATGCTTTTAACATTATAGTCGGTACTCCATGACCACCCTTTGTGAATTGACCTCGTATGCATCCGAACAATTTTCCCACTCCAACTATGTATAATCAATGCTACAAAGCATTCCTAGGAAACTTTGTGTACTTTCATGTGTAGGGAAATTTAGGGTTTATGGTGGAGATCTGGATACCAACTTGGATCGTGATATCACTTTCCGAACTGATATTTCTACCCTATGCATGTGTTACAAGAAATTCAGCCTAGGAAAATCCAAGTGGACACTTACGATTCTAGGTACAGAAATCGTAAGCCAATATGCTAGAGGATTCTGTGAAAGTATGATAAAACGAGAGCTTAAGATCGTAACCCTTTTATGAAGAGGAAGAGTTGTTTATATATTAAACGAGATTAGGGTTGGGCCGTCATTAGTTGCTTTGGAAGCAAGTCATGATAATCCGGATTTAATGAAGATTTAGGGTTACCAAAACTCTGCCCCTTGGAACCGCTAGGGGCGCTGCCCCTAGACCCCGCCAAATGGGCGTTGCCCCGAACCCCCGACTAGTCGGTCGAACCAGCTTGTAATTCGATCTTATACATGCGTGCACTCCGCGCAACCCCGTACATATATTAGAGTACAAATTATGAAACCCCTTAGCTCACATGTTAATTCCAGTTACTTAAAATAACATGGTAACACTAAAATCACCAACATCATGTGCAACATACAACTATCCAACGTCACTTCTCATAGGCATCTACAAATATATTTCATTGTATATGTCTAAAATACACCCACTAAAGTTGTATACACATTCTTGGACAGTTCTTTCAAACAATCATCTTTTGCATCGGCGATGTTCCTGCATCCCAAAATCCTAACTACCACAGTACACTTTTGTATAGGACTAAAACCTAGTCTACCTCTAGCATCGTATCTCCATTGAAAGTATTTGTAATTCGCTTCTAAATCATTCATTATACACATGAATAAACGTTTATTGATACGAAAGCGACATTTGAATCAAGCATTGTTATATAGGCAATCATCAGCAAAGTAATCATGTACCAAAAGTGTGTGTGCATCCTCATGATTCCTATGGATTGAATTTCTAGTCCTCTTGATGGTGTTTGAACTTTCGCATTCTTGACACATTACGCAACTGTTGCATCCATTAATGAGTGAAAATACATATCATTGTCATCGGACGAAGAAGAAAATGACGAATTGCTCATCATTTTTTGATGTTTGACGAATGAATAATTTTGTATATGGAGATATAATTGGTGTTTTGTGGTGTATGATTCAAATGGTATAACTTGTGTTTATAGATTAATTGGGTAGTGTGTTATTTGATTTTTTTAAATCCCAAACGATCATATGACCATTTTATTTTCTCTCTTCATTGTAACACAACGTGCTTCACGGATCTTCATATTTACATAGCTCAAGGGTGGTGTAGCATGGTTACTTACGTGTGACTTAGCTATGCCATCACGCTACACATGTGTTTGCATAACACTTCATATAACCTAAAAGGGACCCGTATCAGAGAGAAGTCGACACAAATCTCAACATGTTTTGTGTGCTCATGAAAAGCATCATTGTTGGCAATATGGATTGCTCTATGGTTGCCGAATCAAACAACAATAAGATATGGTTGTGGGGCACCCATATCAAAGAGAAGCCACCATCGCCATAATAGTTTTTGAGCAGCAGGACCTCGATGCTCAGCTTCAATACTTTGGTTTTGGACTAAGGGATGCTTCTTGCTACATCATGAAACAAATGAGTCACCAAGAAAGAAAAAAATAGCATGCCGTCGAACATTAATCAGTGGCATCACCATCTTGCATCAGAAAATATATGAAGCTCAAGAGATGATGCAGAATGGAATATAACCTATGAAACATAGTGCATTTAATGTTTCTTAAAATTTTCAAATCAACACTATAATGAGAAGTCTGAGGAGCTACCATAAACCAAGTAAGACTATATATGACATATAGGCTCGTGCGAGCGACAATAAGATAAACTAGAGATCTCACCAACCGACGTAAGAGTATGGTATTAAGTATAAGGGAACCATCGTTGGGTGTGAGTCTAAATTTTGTCTCAAAATGTGTAAAGGAGACCTTAGAGTCGTTGAGACCCGCACGAGAAATAAGATTAGAAGCATATTTGGCTTGCAATTAGATGCCAATATCATGAACAAGCACATCTAGTCCTAGTAAGTAGTGAAGTGGTCCAAAATCTTTCATCTCAAAATGTTGGTGTAGAGAGTCTTTCAAAGAGGCGATGTCCTCAACATCGCTGTTGTAATAATCATGTCATCAACATATAATAAAAGAAACATAGTACCAATATCAATAGTTTTGGTGAAGATTTCAGAATCATAATTGCTAGAAATAAAACCTAGTGAACATACGTGTTCATGTAACACTAACTTTCTTGAACCAAGCCTAAGGGGATTGTTTTAGCCCATAGAGGGCTTCGTGAAGATACATGTTCATGCATCACTAAATTTCTTGAACCAAGACTAAAGGGCTTGTTTTAGCCCGTAGAGGGCTTTGTGTAAGCAACAAACATGAGCATGAAGATGTTGAACCTTAGTATGAGTGGAAAATAAAATAGAATAACAATAGTTATCAACGCATTAAAAACCTTGGCAGGTTTTTGAATAAATATATACCGAAGTATACTTTTATGTTCATTGTTGAACAATATGTTCGACTCATAAACTCCAATCACAAATGACTAAAAATGGCTCAATGGCTGACACTTGCTATACAATCTACACCTAAAAACAAATAAAACTTAACCCGAATAAAATCTCATACAATGTACGTCTTCTGGGAGCTCTTCGGACCCCGTTTCTTACGAGGGTTAGAAGTGGTCATGCAAGAAAACGCATTCACAAGTTCAGAATCCTCATCATTCATCAAAATCTTGGCTTTAGTAGGATCCTTAAGCAGTAATTTTGCCACAAGATATCCTGCAATTGTCCATGTCTGAAACAAACGCGATTGTTTCCCTATAAATCTTGCTCTTTTTGTGTCATAATATTCAGGCCATTTGTCTTTACCCAATCTCTCTTCTGCTATCTTCACTGCTCTTTCTGCTATTTCTGGCCTTCCCATCTTGATACATGCCACTGTAAGCTGCAAATCAAAACCAAAAACTCAGTTTACACAATTCATGTTGATATTATGTTGAAATTTAGTCAATTTGACCCAAAAAAAACTCGATACCATTTCAGAAACGTTTATATAATACCTGCCAGAGTAAAGTAGGCCATGAGCCTCCATTGTGGTATGACCAAGGCCTGAAAAACTCCACAATAAAGAATTATGAATTTTTCATAGTAAATGTAAATACAAGGTATTTTGTAGACTTTATCAAAAAGAATAACATTAGAACAGAGGTGTTACGTGTTCTTGGGATCAGAACCCGTGATAATTTGCCATTCTTGACCTTCAAGGGCAGGATAACAAATCTTGAAAGGCATATCTGCCACTAAATCTGCCCATTTTGCTTCAATAAGATCCAAAATCGCATGTGATTGATCAACTGTAACCAAACTACTCACAACAGACCAAAAATTCCCCAAAGAGAAAAACCTAAAATCCATATGAGCAGGTTGCAGGTTTCCAATAAGATATCCACCTCTATTTGGCATCCATTCCACTAACCATGGAGAGATTTGATCTGGATAAATGTTAAACTTATTAACAGCATCGTAAGAATACTCTTCAGTCTTGTATCGATAGATTTCATTAAGCTTTTTCATATCTATCCAGTAATATTCTCGTATATGAAAAGATAATGCAACAAGACGATTGTTTAAAGCTATAATCAAGTCTGTCGATCCTTCTTCTTGCGCAAGCATCTCTCGTGCACATAATAAAGCTGAGTAAAATAAAGATTGGATTTCAAGAGGGTGACCATGAATCCCCATACGCCTATCGATCATACAAGGTCCATCTGCTACTAATAAAGTAGGAAACATATCGAATCCATCAGCGAGACATAGCTTTAGAATCATCTTGATTCCAGTTTGAACATCGATTCTTTCCTGGAGTGATAAATCTCCGGAACTTTTTCCATATGCGCGTAACAGTATAATCCACCATAACCCTAAAAAAAAAGGGGGTTCGTGTTTAGAAAAGATAAAGAAATGGGCGAATGGCATAGTGGTAATTACCGGAATCCACAGGGGCAACACGGCCAATAGCAGCCTCTCCGAAATCAGGGTCTAGAACTTCTTCGGTTGCAGTGTCGTCTCCTTCAAGGGGTACTGTACGGACCTTGAAACTTGCAGGCATTAATCCTTGCCCAGGGCTATGGCAATCCATTGTTTTCTCCCAGCTCTAGAAACAAGAAATTTAAACTGAAATGATGATTGATCTTGAAAAACAGAAGAAAAGAAGATGAAAGATGAAATGTTGGGTACTTGGAGTTGAAGTGTGTGAAGGATGAAACTGCGGACAATGTCGTATTCCCCTTTTAATAAGAAAGCTATACCAGAAGGTATGAAGTCGCGAATGAAAACTTGATCGTAGTTAAGTACACTAGAGCTTGTGGGGTCTTTTGCGGCTATTGTACCAATAGGACTACCACAATAGTTTACCATTGAATCACGAAGTAGGTCCCATGCTTCGTCTTCAATCGTGTCAGATGTTGAATCGTCCTTTTCTTTCTTCAATTTATGAATGTCCTTTGAATCCGAGAGGTTTGGTGGATGATTTGTGTCTTCAATAGTGTTGAACTGTTTGGGATTATCCACAACCCATGTATCGTTTGCATCTTCAGCAGTGAGTCCACTAACACTTTCAGAAGTCTGGCATTTACAACTAAAATGATGAAATGATCGTCGATTTTGGATGGTTTCATGGCGGATGCTAGGAGTTGTAGGAAACTGGCGACAAGTATGAACATTTGAGCACCTGAAGAATCGAATGGCATTTGAGCGGCTTCTCTTTTTACATTTTGTGATGGACCCATGAGAATATGTTAATAAGTTGGAACAAGGGTTAGGGTAGAAGAGTCGAGGTGTAGCCCCACAGAAGACTTGAAGAATTGATTCAGAAGAAATCATGGCAACACCTAAAACAAGAGCATTGATTTAATCGCCTTTAACAAAATTTAGGGAACTCTGTATTTCGGCTATGTGCGTTGCATTAATTTATGACGAATCAATATATAAATGGGAAAAAAATCATTACTGCAATTGGAACAGAATCAACAAATCGATATATGAATATCTTTTAACCTAATTCAGCGCAAGATGCATGTACTTAAATAACAAGTGCAGAAAACCCCTTTATAATTCCGCCAAACATTACGATTTAGTTCGAGATTTTTCCCTTAAATCATCAAAATCCCATTTTCGAGAAAGTAAGAAACATCATTTGGGAGTTGGGTTCTGAACAAAAACAATGTAATCTTGTGAAATTGAAGAAATTTTAGGAAAAATACTACAAATTTACCTTCGTGAATAGATGTTGGATACTGAAATCAGAGACTTGAATCGATGGAAGAGTAACAATCTGTAATACCCAGTTAATCAATCGCCGATTTCCGAGTATATCGCGCAATCTATTGAAGAATGGGGTTGAAACAAGTGTAAAACGAGAAAAACGAAAACTTGAACGCATGAACAATAGAAGAACTAAATGCGCTAGTGTTCTGTTTCTGGCCATACATGTCTCCGTTCCGCACTTTATAAGAAAATTCTATTTTCGAAAATTCAAATATCGTTTGAGAAAAATCACACAATTAATATTTCGTATTCAAAAGCATTTAAAATCATTTTGACAAAATTATAATTTCTTTATTTACAACAATAAATGAACATTATAGATATCTTTCCGAATATAATACATAGTCCAATATTTTATATTGTATTAGCAAAAATGTTTAAAATGATCCAAATGAAAACACTATGAATGAACTTTATTATAATTAAAATAACTTTTATGAATTAAAAATAAAATAAAAGTATAATATCAACATACGTAGTATTTTGCCATAAGTAACTTCTGTTGGCAATATGAAAGTGATGGATATTCCACGTGAACAAAAAGTAAAGGGCAAGTTTAAGTAACGTGTAGAAATGTTATGGTCCACTCGTGTATGGATAAACTTGCTATTTTTGTCATGAAATTAGACCAATCCAATATGAGATTCACATCTTTAAGATTAAATTACCTGAGTGGTCCTATGGTTTAGGCAATTTGTATTTGCTTCATAACTTATTTTTCAAACTCAAAAAGTCGTTATTGTTTGTTTTTGTTATAACGCTTGATATTGTCTTACATAAAAAAACTATTTTCCCTTGATTTTTTAATTTATTTAAATAAACACACCCTCAACCTCACTCCCTCATCTTACCTTACCTACCCTACTTTTTTTTCCTATTTAAATAATTATCTTTTTACGTAAGATAAGGACCAAACGCATGACAAAAACAAACAATATGGACCAAACGTGTAACAATAACAAACAGTAGGGATATTCTGAGTTAAAAAAATAAGTTAAGGAACAAGCGTCCAATTATCTGAAACCATAGGGACCATTCGTGTAATTTACTCTATCTTTAATTTTAAATTTTAATTGATAATTGATGATTCAAATATACCTAACAAAACTTATACACTAGCGAGAAACGAGAAACGTATCTCGTTGAGACTCATGACACATCTAAAATCTAAATGTGTTTGGCACTAGACTTTTGAAAGTTTTTAAGTAGAGATGGTAACGGGGCTTTGGAATCGTGAGGACTTGGGATGAGCAGCGGACCGAACCCGGAATGGACCGGCCCGAAGACCGAAAACCCAAAGACCAAAAACCCTAATAACAAGAGTTCTACAACGAAAGAGAACTTGTGTGTATGGAAGGTGAAGAACGATTGAATAATGACCCGAACAAGTAATTCCAAGCTTTAAATATCTGGGTCATTTCCAACCCGAGGATCCACATGTTAACCCAAACACATATCAAACTTAGGGCCGACCCATGGGCCTGGGCGACTGCCCTGTCCCCCCAAACGCCAAAGGGCCCCGTATTTATACCTATTATTGGGTTATATTAGTTGCAGCCCATATTTTTTCAAGCCTATATTAATCACAACCCATATTTTTTTTAAGCCTATATTAATCACAGCCCATATTTTGTGAACTATTTTTCTATTTTGTTAAGAGTATAAAATGGAATATGACTTATTGATTTTGATTAAATAAACTTCTGTAATGTTGGTTTTGTTATGAATGATTATCAGATTTGAGATTTAAGAATTGAGATAATAAGACATGAAATAAATTTTATGATTTCTCTATTTAACTATTTTTTATGTTCAGATAACAAGATTTGGGATTGCTGAAAGATTATTAACAGCTAAGTAGAAGATTACAAGCTTACAACCTACAAGTAATTTCTTTTCAAAAAAAACTTTAATCTATTTTCTGTGATTTTGCTAATTCGAAATTTCTAATATTTAAGATTATTTTGTATTATTAATCTTCAGATTTCTCATTGCTTTTGGATCAAAGGATTGAGGATATAATGTTATAAACAAGTTGCAAGCAACAGAAAGTCAACTGCTTGGCAGCCACATTAGCCATCAGGTAGTTTACTTTCCCTTTATTTTGTTGATTTGTTTTTTTGTAAATCTGTGTGATTCAGTGGTTGTTTGTTATCTGTTATCTTAATTGTTATTTGTTAAAAATGCCTCCTAGAAAATATATGTTTGGAACTGAAAAATGAAAAAAAAAAAAAAAAAAAAAAAAAAAAAAAAAAAAAAACAAATTAAACAATTTAATGGTAATTTGGCATGATGGCCGAATACAATTTGGCTTTTCGAGGTTGTAATGAAAAACTTTTTCAGGAATCTAATGGTAATTTTTTGGGAGCAATTCAAATGATGGTAGAATTTGATGTTATAATGCAAGAATATTTTAGACACATAGAAAACCATCAAACTCATCTTCATTATTTAGGGCACAAAATTCAAAAGGAAATCATTTCTATTTTAGTTAATAAAGTTAGAAATTCTATAATTAATATTATAAAAGAATCAAAATATTTTTCTATTATCCTTGATTGCACCCCCGATGTTAGCCATCAAGAACAAATGACTATAATTATTCGATGTGTGAACAAACATGTCTAATAATAAAATAAAAGTTGAAGAATTTTTTTTAGAATTTTTGAAAGTAGAAAACACATCAGGTTTAGGACTTTTTAATGAGTTATTAAATGCAATTAAATGATATGGTCTTAATATTGATGATGTAAGAGGATAAGGTTATGATATTGGTTCTAAGATGAAAGGAAAACACCAAGGGCTTCAAAAACGATTAATTGAAATTAATCTGAAAGCATCGTTTATGTCATGTGCATGTCATAGTCTTAACCTCACGGTTAGTGATATGACTCATTCTTGTGCTAAAGCTATTTCTTTTTTTGGAGTTTTGCAACATATTTTTGTATTATTTTCGTGTTCAACTAAAGGATGGTCAATATTACTTGATAAAGTCCTTAACTTAACAGTAAAATATTTATCTAATACACGTTGGGAGAGTCAAATAAAAAAATGTCAAAGTCATTAGGTTTCAAGCTCCTCATATAAGGGATACATTGGTAGAATTATGTTCATCATGTGATGATGCAAAGTCTAAAAGTAAAGCTGAAAGTTTAATTCATGCTATTGAAAGTTATGAATTTTTACTTAGCATGGTAATTTGGTATGATATTTTATTTGGTATAAATAAAGTTAGTAAAAATATGCAAACCAAAACTGTGTATTGATGCCACAATTGATTTATTAAAAAAATATGATGATATTTTTTAAAAATTATAGAAATGAAGGTTATGCCCTTAGTATAGATAATGCTAGGGCATTGCATCAGATATGAATGCTGAACCTATATTTCTAAAAAAACGACAAATTATTAGAACAAAACAATTTGATGAAACTAATTGCGAAAATAAATTACTATCACCCGAAGAAATAATCAGAATCGAGTATTGTATATATATTGTTGATGTGGCAATTGCGTCATTAGAGAGTAGATTTGAGCAATTAACAAACTTTGAAAATATTTTTGGATTTTTATATGATTCAAAAAGGTTAAAGTCATTAGATGAAATTAAACTTAAAAAAAATTGTACTATTTTTTTAAATAAGTTTACTCATAATCATTTATATGATGTGGATTTAAATGATTTTATTACGGAAATTAAAGTATTAATAAAGACTTTGCCAAATTTTGTTATATCATCGATTGAAATTTTAGAGTTTACCAAAGGTAAAGACTGTTATCCAAATGTTTGTATTACATATAAAATTCTATTAACTATACTTGTTACTATATCATCAACAATTAACAGAAAGAAGTTTTTCAAAACTAAAATTATTAAAAAATTATTTGACATCATCAATGTTACAAGAAAAATTAAATGACTTAGCTATATTATGCATTGAAAAAGAATTGTTGAATAATATTGAAATTGATTCTATAATTGATGACTTTACATCTAAAAAAAACTCGTAAATATAAATTTCTTTAGTTTTTTCTTTGTTATGTTTATGTATTATGGTTCAGAGCATTTTTGGCCTTTTATTTATTATTATTATTATTATTATTATTATTAGTTGTTAGGTTGTTTGGCTTCCAGAGCCTATCCTGAAGCTCTTTTTTCCATATGTGGGGAGTCCCCAGCCTTTAATTGTATTATTTTTTTAATTAATAAAATTTTCCGGAGGCACCACCCTCTTTTACCAGAAAATTATATGGGTCCTAATTTTATTTTATTTTGCCCCGGATCCTAAAATATCTAGAAGCGGGCCTGATCAAACTGAAGTACTGAACATATTGTCCCCTGCATATTTACCTGAAATACCCTTTTACACATGTATCTACAAAATGACCTTATTTTAATTAACAAAATGTTAGTTTGTATATTTTAAACATTATTTGTTTTAACATTATGACATTGTGTTGGATACTTCTAAGTGGTTTTTTATGGTGGTCGGTTTAGGAAAAAATATCAATTTTTGATAGCATAGTTTTAAATTCTTTTTTATTTTTGTTAAATAATCTAGCTTCCAATTCCGACATAGCTTGGAATGCTTGGCTCATGATTCCTTTGTAAATTCTAGATTATAGTTATTTCCTAAAATATTTAAATATATGAGTAATGCGGTTGTTAAATAAATTGTGGCAAATTTGTGGCTGTTTGGTTGGTTTCGAAGTTTGTGGTAACACTATGTAGCTTATACGGGTCTATCGTTGCGACCATCACACCCATTAACGACAAATTAATTGTGCTAAAAGTTAATTTTCAAATAATGATAACCAAAGGTTACTTTTTTTTTTTTTCGATTTTAGATTGGGAATATATTGGTGCGTCGTGCGCATAGCCGCATGTAATCACGACATTTAACATATGTTAGAGGGGCGGGTGTGAGCAACGCCCGTATGGCGTTATCCAATGTGGCAGCGCCATAACGGGGGAACACGCCCCCTTCCTCCCTCTCGTTATTACACGTTATGTTATCTCGCGCAATGGTGGTAACGTATGTTAACGCGTAGAAAAGCGAAAGTTGCAAAGTCAAACCGTTTAAAAACGGTACAATTTCAAAAATCAACCGTTTAACTTTAATAAAAAAAAATTTACTAATTACATTTTCATTATTATATATACCTCATGCTTTTTACTACACATATTTCTCTATATCTATCTCTATTTCTATATCACTCAAACACAAAAATCAACCAACTATGGATCAAAACTCGAATACCCCTCATCCGAACACAAACAAATCCACTCCATTAGGTTTTGCGGGATACATGAACCTTCTAAACTCTCAAAAGTCACCACAAATTCCATATTCCGGCAATTTTTCAATCCCGCCTCACCCCACTACAACTCTCTACCTCGCCATTTATGCAATAAAATGCAAACATTCAACAAAATATTTTTAACACATTCGGTCCCATTCGCCAAACAATCACACAACCCCCACCCATGCAAGAAATCGTTGTCGAGACGCAAGCCGGGGGTAATCAGAAAGCATCGGGAAAAAAAAGGAGACCAAAAAAAGAAAATGAGAGAGGTCGTTTTCGGGGTGGATCAAACGGAACCACCTCCAACATGGTGGCTCCGGAGGAAGAGCATGCGTTGGCGGTGGCTTGGTGCGGTACTTCAAAACAGTCAACTATGGGGAATGATATGAAGAGATTTGCTTTTTGGGATGCCGTAATTGTCAGATTCCATACAATTTTAAACAGGGGTGACACATATCGCAAAATGATATGCTTAGTGGCAAATGGACTCAAATTAGCTATAAATGCACCAAATTCAATTTCATATACAACAAACTTTCTTCGCCACGTAAAAGTGGTGCGAATGATTTTGATGTGTTTAGAGCCGCGAGGGAGGAATATCACGCGCAAATGGGTCACAAAGTTTAGAAGAATGTGAGGAAAGATCCAAAATGGATGAAAACGCCAACATCATCGGAACAACAATCAAAAAGGTTTCGTGGTTCGGGTTCGGTTGACGTTTTCGACAGACACATGAACATCGACCTCAACGCGAACACCGATGAGATCCCGGACTAGTTTGATGACATCGGGGGCGACAAAGCCAAGCGTGCGCACACAACATGTGCAAGAGAATGAAAGTTGGCTTCGAGAGCATGAGGAAATGGAAAGAAAAAAAAAAAAAATTGACGCCCACATGGAAATCGCAAATAAAAGATATAAATTGCAACAGGAGCATTTGAGTTTCCTTTGTCAAGAAGCCGAAGAAGATCGCATATCGAAGTATTTGGCAATTCTTACAACAAACGAAGAAAATTTACCACTGAGACGAGCTGAAGTGATATGGAGGATGAAGGCAAAGATCAAGAACAAATACTTAGGCGAAGAATAATTTGTCGGTGTTTTTTTTTTTTTCATTATTAGGACTATCGTGTGTTTTTTTTCAATGTTTTTTTTTAAGTTTGTATGGTATTTTTAATTTACTATTTAATGAAATTATGTTTTATTAATTTATATGTTTTTTATAGATATATGATATAAATAAAAAAAAAAAATACATAAAACGAATTAGAAATATATGAAGTAAATAAAAAAATAAAACAAATTAGAATAATAGAAATTAAAAACATTAAAAAAAAAAAAGAAATAGAAAATAGAATGTGTTATCCCATGTTATTTGGTGTTGTTTATTTCCAGTTTTGGTGTCATGATACTAAATTGTGACTATGATGATGAGGTGGACAATTTAAATGTGATAATATATAATAACATATTGCTCCCACCTAGTACAATAAACCAAAATAATTGAGACTTACAAAAGGCAATTCAATTAGAAACTATTAGGGATGTCAACGGGGGCAAACGGGGCGAGGATTGCATCCTTCGCCCCACCCCCGAAATTTTCCTGTTCCCCCGCCCCCGCCCCCGTTTGGATTGATTTTTTTTTGGACGAACGAAGGTGTTGTTTAAGCTAAAATAAGTTGTTTTTTGAGCTAAAAGAAACCATTTTGGATAAAAATAGTTATTTATAGCATAAGTTTATATATTTAAAATAAAAATATTATAACATCTTAAAAACGTTATACTATAAACTTAAAAACATGATATTTAATTGAATTTTGAAAGTTCAAAATCATTGTTATTATTTATTATATTTTTATAATTAATATATATTAATATAAATAATATATTAACGGGGTCCCCATTGGGGGTTCGGAACGGAACTACCCACCCCGCCTCCGCCCCCGAAACTAAAACGGGGGTTAACATTGCCCCCGCCCCCGCCCCCATCCCTGATTTTTTAAACAAACAATCCCATTCGGGATCAGGGCTCCATGGGTTCCGTGTCCCACGAGACTTTTTGATATCCCTAGAAACTATAGTAGATAAGTGAATATTTAAAAAAAAAAAAAAAAAAAAAAACCATTATCTTCATACAAAAGTCTAATATCTTATTGGAACTTAACCGGTCATTTTATTCCTTAATTATCTCCTCTTGGAGGTAACCAACAAGCTGTCGTACTTATCCGAAATCTTCTTTTTGTTGAACCAAAACACGTTTACGATCCTAATTAACAAGCCCTAATCAAATCATTCTTCCACACCCAATCACACACCCTACAATTCACTGACTCATGGATTAGTAAATGAAATATTCTTACAGTCTTAGCATGCAGCCAAATTTTCATCAGGCAATCCGCCATTGATTTCTTTTTGCTACTCAATCACTTCCGACTTCTTCGTCCTGTAAGTCTTTTTATCTCATTTTTCTATGCTCATTATTATTTTTACAAAACGGGGTTGTTCTTGAAAGTTTTGAAATACCATGAAAAGTCGGTTTTTCTTTTCAAATAATATAATACAATATGTATCATGCAGCATACAAGTGAATGTGGATATTATATACCGTTTTAACATAGAATTCTTTGTTTGTTTGCTGAAGAAAACTATCTTTAAAAGTTACATTTGAAGCTAAAAACTAACTTCAACAAGTAGAGAGAGTTTTGCAGATAATTTTTTGTTAATTGTGGAAAATGCCTCCTTGAATTATAGTCATTATAATGCATGATATATGTACGTAGTATAATAAGTTACTAGACAAAAGTATCAAAAAATGTAACTTAACACAAGACTTTGTAAATAATATGTACAAACTGGTCTTCATGGAACATGTACAACACATGTAAAAACACGCATATGTCCAATGGCAACATGTTCCCTAACAAAATGTAATCTATTTCCACATGCATGGTAGCTTCTAGGTGAGGATAGGAGGAAGAGATGACAGCAGCTCATGGTGGAGATGAGCTGGCGAGGTCAGTGAGCCAAAGGTTGAGTTTATCGGCATCAAGTAGGAACTGGGCTTCAGCTAGCCTCAGAGACGCTTTCGCTGGAGCACCTGGAGGTGACGCTTTTGAGAAAACTGGAATACAAGATGATGAAGATGAACTCAAATTAGCTGCCATCGAGAGGCTCCCTAACTATGAAGGATCAAAGAAACAAATGTTGAAGCAAGTTCCTGACAATGGAAGCACCAACATCGCCAATATTGGTCATCGGGATAAGAAGCAGCTTATGGAAAGCGTACTAAAAATTGTCGAAGAAGATAATGAGACTTTTCTTCGCCGTCTTCGAGAAAGAACTGATAGGTGAACTATCAATTATCCATTATCAGTATCTCTCTTCAAAAAATTAAATTTCAAGAATTTGTTAACATCATATCAATTAACCAGGGTTGGGATTGAAACTCCAAAGATTGAAGTTCGTTACAAGAATCTATCGATTGAAGGAGATGTATTCATAGGGTCGAGGGCACTTCCAACTTTGTTCAATGCCACCCTTAATGCCATAGAGGTTTCCCATTTTTATTTTTATTTTAAAAACTCTTTTGTTCTAGACAGATTGCCAATTGTATTTTCTACTCGTTTTGCTTCTAATATATAGGGATTTCTCCAAGTCATTAGGCTTGTTCCATCCAACAAACAAGTTCTTAAAATATTGCAAGATGTGAGTGGAATCGTTAGACCATCGAGGTACGTATGTACATTTTGAAGTTCTTGAAATAGATTTATAATCAAGCATTATATGAGAAAACTGAATGATCCAAAAAAGGGTTTCAATTTCAGGATGACACTGCTTCTTGGACCTCCAAGCTCTGGAAAAACGACCTTTCTGAAGACACTTGCTGGAGTACATGAAAAGGATCTAACATTAAAAGGAGAAGTTACTTACTGTGGCCATAAAATGTCCGAGTTCATTCCTCAGAGAACTTGTGCATATATCAGACAACACGATGTCCACCATGGTGAGATGACTGTTAGAGAGACGTTTGATTTTGCTGGATGTTGCCTTGGTGTAGGAACAAGATACGATCTTCTGGCTGAACTTGTGAGACGCGAGAAAATAGCAGGAATTACACCAGACCCTGATATCGATGCTTTCATGAAAGCCACAGCAATGGGTTGTCAAGAATCAAGTGTTGTTACAGATTATGTTCTCAAGGTTTATATATATAGCTAACTCACGATCTTAGTTTTTTCGTTCTTTGTTATCTTCTTCAACTGATTTACAATCGTAGGCCATTTTGAACAGATACTTGGGTTAGATATATGTGCCGATATCATGGTAGGTAATGAGATGCGAAGAGGAATCTCTGGTGGACAGAAGAAACGTGTCACTACTGGTAATTAAGCAAATCATGCTTACGTGTGATCTAGATTTTCTCAAAGATTATCTTGTTAATTGATTTTTTATTTACAGGAGAAATGCTAGTGGGACCTGCGAAAGTATTTTTCATGGATGAAATTTCGACTGGTTTGGATAGTTCGACTACTTATCAGATTGTTACGTATATGAAACAAATGGTTCATATCATGGATATGACCATGATTGTCTCGCTTCTGCAGCCTTCACCTGAAACATTCGAGTTATTCGATGACATTATACTCCTTTCAGAAGGTCAAATTGTGTATCAAGGCCCACGTGTATATGTTCTTGAGTTCTTTGAAAATGTCGGATTCAAATGTCCAGAAAGGAAAGGAGTAGCAGATTTTTTACAAGAGGTTACTTCAAGAAAAGATCAAGAACAGTACTGGTTCAAGAAAGATGAACCCTATCGCTTCATCTCTGCACCTGAATTCGCTCATCTATTCAGTCGATCTTTACTTGGAGAGGCTCTTTCTCATGATCTTGAAAGTAATTACGAGAAAACCAGTGTGCATCCTGCTGCTTTGGTGAAGGAAAAATATGGTATATCAAATTTCGACCTTCTAAGAGTGAATTTAGCGAGAGAATGGTTGCTAATGAAGCGCAACGCCTTCTTGTACGTTTTTAAAACATTTCAGATTACAGTCATGTCGATTTTTGCATTCACTGTGTTCTTTAGAACAACGATGAAAAGTGGTCAGCTTAAAGATGGTGGAAAATATATGGGAGCATTGTTCTTTAGTCTCCTTACTGTGATGTTTAATGGTGCTGCTGAGCTGGCACTCACAGTTATGAGGCTTCCTGTCTTCTTCAAACAAAGAGATTCTTTGTTTTACCCTGCATGGGCGTTCGCCCTCCCCATTTGGCTTTTAAAGATTCCAATATCAATCATGGAATCTGTCATATGGATTCTTATGACATATTACACCATTGGGTTTGCTCCTTCAGTTAGCAGGTTTTTTAAACAACTTTTGGCTTATATCTGCGTGCATCAAATGGCTTTGTGTCTCTTTCGATTTCTTGCTTCACTTGGGAGAATACAGGTGGTTGCTAGTGCCCTTGGTACCTTTACACTGCTATTAGTTTTTGTGTTCGGTGGATTCATCGTAGCAAAAGGTTAGAAAGCCAATTAGATTAATTATTGGCGATATATGTATGTATGCATCTTGTTGCTGAATATATATATATATATATATATATATATATATATATATATATATATATATATATAAACAAGTTCGTATTTCTTACAGATGACATTGAACCATGGATGATATGGGGTTATTACGCTTCACCCATGATGTATGGACAGAATGCCATCATGCTCAATGAGTTTTTAGACGATAGATGGAACACTGTGAGCTTAACTGAACCTTATCGACTGAAGTTATGTTATTTGCATTGATTTGATTTTTGGTTATTATGATCATACAGCCGAATCCTGACCCACGAATTAATGAACCTACCGTAGGCAAGGTTCTTCTTAGTTCAAGAGGCATGTTCATGAACGACTATATGTTTTGGGTTTGTGTTGGTGCACTCTGTGGGTATTCGCTGATCTTTACTATCTTCTTCATTTTAGCACTCACTTACTTGAATCGTAAGTTCATGTTTTATGTTTTATGTTTTATGTTTTTGGATTTTCAGTGGAAGTTCTTGATTGATGTAATGTATGCTTGACACAAAATGCAGCTCTTAAAGATTCAAAAACTGTTGTTCCAACTGAAGATGAAGAAATTCAGCTCCCAACGTCACCCACAGATCAAGGTTCTTTTTCTCTTTCAAGGATGAAATGAATTGCGTTCACTTTCACATTGGTTAATATGCTAATGAAATTGTATTTTGAGGTACAGAAATGTCAGGAAGGAAGGCAAATGGGTCTAAAAGGAAAGGAATGGTGCTTCCATTTAAACCGCTGTCACTTGCATTTAATCATGTCAATTACTATGTAGATATGCCTGCGGTAAGTCCGATCCTTTTAACCATTTATATGTAGCGAAGATAAAAATATAAAGATCGGCATGTTTCTCAGGAAATGAAAACTCAAGGACTTGAGGATGATCATCTACAACTTCTACGAGGTGTAAGTGGTGCCTTTAGACCAGGTATTTTGACAGCTTTAGTTGGTGTTAGTGGTGCTGGAAAGACTACTTTGATGGATGTTTTAGCGGGAAGAAAGACTGGTGGCTACATTGAAGGGAATATCAGTATTTCCGGCTACCCTAAGAATCAAGAAACATTTGCTCGTGTGAGCGGATATTGTGAACAAAATGATATCCATTCTCCACACGTTACAGTTTATGAATCGCTTGTGTATTCTGCATGGCTACGTCTCCCTCCAGATGTAACTCATGAATCACGACACGTAAGGTTTTCTCCCATTTTTGTTTTACAAATTGATTATAACTTGTTTTAATTAATAGTTAATAGCCGAACTAATCACACACATTTTAGGAATCTTGTTGTATATTTGTTGGAAATATGATAAGCTAATTCCCATAGTTATCCTTGTAAACTTTGTGTGTGTGTGTATATATATATATATATATATATATATATATATATATATATATATATATATATATATATATATATATATATATATATATATATATATATATATATATATATATATATATATCGAGTTGTGTTAACGAATAGATCATCGCGAATTATCTACTGTCATAGTGTGGGAGCCTCTTTCCTAAAAACAATCCATCACAACCAAACCTCATGCCATTGTCGATGCCCATGAAATATGGAACAAACTTGACTTCATGGTCCTTAAGTAGCTAGATCTACGAGACTATCTCTCAATATCTACTATACATTATCCTTAAGCCCAACTCCACCACCTTTTAACCATGGGAGAGACTATGAGATACTAGTCTAATACTTTACTCTCCTATCAAGCCCTTAAACTTATCATCGACCGACTTGCCAACATAGGATCCCGAGTCTCCAACGAATGTCTAGTACTACAACTCATTGTCAGTCTTAGAATCCTATGATGGTGTCATTGCGACACCATCCATTGACGACCATTTGCATCCATTCCACTAAGCACATTCCATGCTTACTCTTGAAGAAACCAAAAAACTCTCAAAAGTCTCTTTCAAGTATGTCCACCTTGGTTTCTTCTACCATGTCGCCAAAACATAGCGCCTCCTTCTCTAAAGGTCGAGGTTATGGTTGTTGAAATAAGGTTGTAATACACCAAATAGATGTTGATGAAGTTACCCTTGAATGTACACATGGTTGACCCAACAACCTTCTCTACCAATGTGTACTTGTATACCAAGTAGCCTTGGTAATACCTGTAGGGTTTCCTTGATCTAGGATCCAGCCTCTTTCTCTCTCTCTCTCTCTCTCTCTCTCTCTCTCTCTATATATATATATATATATATATATATATATATATACACACACACACTAGCCGTTTACTCGCGCCAAGCGACGGGTGTGACAATGGTGGTTGAATGTTGAAAGATGAATTAAACCCTAGAAATGGAAATGTCAGCAATATATATCCGAGATTTGTGAATAGAAATTGCGAGATTTGGGAAATACGGAGATAAGGAATTAACCGGATCAAAATAGCCTAAGAATAGGGGATAAGAGATTTTGACATTTTCAACTGTTGACCATATGTACTCTACTCTTTTTGTAATGCATAAATTGATTGTACAAATGCATTGTATGTTTGTATGATTTAAAATTCAGCATTTGACCAAAAATGCTTTATAAGGTAATTAATATATATATATATATATATATATATATATATATATATATATATATATATATATATATATATATATATTGTACTGCATCCTTGTAAAATATACAATTAATAAGATATTTTCACCCCCGGTCTTTTCTTGTTTACAAGGTATTAAAGTGAGGTTTAGAGTTGGAGGGTTTTTTATGTTAAGCACCCATTGGCAATTATTGTTCACAGTTCTGAGTTTTTGTTATGAATCATACTTGATAAGTCGGCAAGTTAATAGATAATAAGTATTTTATATTTCAGGAAGTTATCGTGTTTCTGTTTTTAAATTTGGTAATTAGGATCGTTTATTATTTGAGTCGATTTTAGAATCTTTGTTTCCTGATTTGAGTCTTTTGTTTATCCCTATTTAAAGGGTAGTCACTCATGAAATAAGATATGCTAAAATTTCAAAACAATCAATAGAGTAATATTAGTTTAATAGCTTAGTTTAGTCTCCTGTAAATAGGAGGCTATGTTACAAGGAATTTCACGGCTTCTTCAAGCACCAACACTGGTCTGTCACGAGGTCTAGATCCTGGGCCATAACAAATTTGGTATCAGAGCCGTTCGTGATGTCAAAACAATAGGAAGAGCTAATGAAGAAATTGGATACAAATACCAATGATTTAAAGGTGGCTATGGTAGCCTTGCAGATCAAGCAAGCAGCGATTACAAACCCTAACCCAAAACAAATCCAACTGACAAGAAGAAGAAGATGAAAGCGTGGACAAGATGTTCGAGTCTAATAGATTTGATGACTCATCGAAACATGTGTGTGGAAGAGGACGTGGCACCACCTTTGGTTCCAATCCAAACAGTAAGTTTTCATACCAAGGAGGCTTGGCTAGAAGATTTAAGGGCTTGATCCAGGAAGAAGCAGGAAGAGCATCGAGCAAGGCTTTTAAATCATGACGGATAGGTGAACCCTAACCTTTCAAACACCATTTAGATTCCCTCAAACCAGAAGGGTCAAACAGAAGGGATCAGGGGGCACCAAAAGACTGGGAAGAGACGAGAGATATGGGATACCGTAGGGGAAGAGTACCAAGATTCACGAAGATGGAGTTTCCCATATATGATGTGTAGGGTAATCCAGTCGAATGGCTTCAAAGATGTGAAGAATTCTTTGAAGAACTATAGACCCCCACTGAAGCTTGGGTTAGGCAGACCACCTTTTCACTACAAGGTCGGTCTAGTGGCTGGTACCATAACCTACGACAAATGAAAACCCACTTGAATTGGTTCGAGTTCTCAAAAGAGTGCAAAATCAGATTTGGACCCCCGACGAGCATGAACCCGTTAGGCGCGTTAACTCAATTGAGGCAAACAGATACAGTAGAGGACTATTGTGAAGGCTTTGAGTTGTTGCTAGGGCAAACGATGGGTGTGACTCTGGAGCAAAGTGTTTGGCATTTTTGTGCAAGTTTGACTAATGTTATCCGTTACGAAGTAGAGTTTGATAGACCCACCACACTATATTATGCTATGAACCTAGCCAAACAGATTGAGTTCGAACTTGTGGAGAAGGGACGACCAAGGAGTTTTGGAGCACCTTTATCAACTAGGAATCAACCCTCAATAGGAAGCAAAAACCGAGAGTCGGCGGGTGGTGGAGCCGAAACAATGAAATATGAAGTGTGGAACTCGGCTTTGAAACGCATTACGGCTATAGAGTTGGTGGAACGACGTGCAAAAGGATTATGCTTTAACTGTGATGAGATATTCTCGATCAGCCATAAGTGTGTGAAATTGTTCGATATCATGATGGAGGATGAAAAAGATGTTACTTGGGATGATCGTGTTGTTTTAACTGACGTGTGCCCAGGTTTTGAGCTAGCAGACAAGCTAAATGCAAATAAAGGGAGTAATGTTATGAATCATACTTGATAAGTCTACAAGTTAATAGATAACAAGTATTTTATATTTCAGGAAGTTATCTTGTTTCTGTTTTTAAATCTGATAATTATGATCGTTTATTATTTAAGTCGATTTTAGAATCTTTGTTTCCTGATTTGAGTCTTTTGTTTATCCCTATTTAAAGGGTAGTCATTCATAAAATAAGATATGTTGTAATTTCAAAACAATCAATAGAGTAATATTAGTTTAATAGCTTAGTTTAGTCTCTTGTAAATAGGAGGCTAAGTTACAAGGGAGTTCACGGCTTCTTCAATCACCAGCACAACACTTGTCATGTGATGAGGTCTAGAGCCTGGGCTGTAACAGTTTTCTGATTAGGGCACCATGTGAGTGTTATGTTTCTGAGTTCTTCAGTTTGGGCACCCTATGAGATGGTTCTTTTGTCTATGTGTGTCGAGTCCCGATCCTTGAAAAAAATGATTGTGTATCATCAAGAATTTCCTAATTCTGGTTCTGTTTCTGATATGACGCCTGAAAATACTGCTTCTAGTTCTACTTTTGGTTTTGATTTTGTTACTATATCTCCAAAAGGGAATGCTCAATTTTTTGGATGCAGAAATTTACATTCGTCGGTGGCCGCTTTTGCTGAGACGAACAATTCTACTAAATGTTTATTATATTCTGCTTCCAAATGGGTCATCGATTTATGTGCTTCAAATCACATGACAGCTAATCATCATCTTCTATCTGATTTCCATACTCATACATCAACATCCCATGTTACCATTGTCAATGGTACCATTCAAGTTCTAAGTTCTAGGATCTAGCATAGTTGATCTTGCCCCTATTTATTTCATTATCCTCTATGTTAAGCCTCATAAATTTCTCGTTTAATTTGTTATTAGTTAGTAAAATTACTCGTGGATTGAATTGTAGTGTCATGTTTTTCTCTGTTTATTGTGTCTTTCAAGATCTTTCAACAAAACAAATAATTGGTAGAGGATGAGAATCCGGTGGACTTTATGTATTTGAACGTGGGATACTGAAATCCATAGTATGATTGATGTCATTATCTCCGGTTGAATTACATTTTCACTTAGGTCATCCAGCTCTTCAAAGTTTAAAGAAATTATATCCCCAATTTAGTCATTTATAATCCATAAATTGTGAGTCGTGTCAATTTGCTAAACATCTACATGCTCACTTGAGCCCTAGAGCTAATAAACAAGTTACGTCCCCATTTGAATTAGTTTACTATGATGTATGGGGTCCTTTTCCTATTACTTCTAAAACTGAGTTCAAGTATTTTATGACTTTTGTGGATGATTATTCTCGTGTTACTTGGTTGTATTTGATGAAAAATCGCTCCAAGGTATTCACATGTTTTTGTTCATTTGTTGTTGAGATTAAAATACAATTTAGTATCTCTATGAAAACTTTGCATATTGATCGTGCAAAAGAATACACCTTAGAAATCTTTCGATCATACATGTTTCAGCAAGGTGTTCTCCATGAATCTTCTTGTGTTGATACATCTGCCCAAAACGGTGTTGTTGGATGAAAAAATCATCACATTCTTGAAGTAGCTCGAGCATTATTATTTCAAATGACCATTCCAAAAACATTTTGGGATGATGTAGTCTTTATTGCCTATTTTCTCATCAACTGTATTCCATCTGCAATTCTTGATGGTGATATTCCATTTTATGTTTTGTTTCGTAATAAACATTTGTTCCAGTCGAACCAAAGATATTTGGTTGTAGTTGTTCTGTTCGAGATTCTCGACCTCAGATCATCAGACTAGATCCGAAGTCCCTTAAGTGTGTTTTCCTAGGATAATCTTGCCTTCAGAAAAGTTATAAGTGTTTTTCTCCTACACTCGATCATTATATCATTTCATGAGATGAAAGTTTTCTAGAGAAAGGACCCTTCTTTCCAGTGACTAGCACCCATAATCAAGGAGATAATGATGATTTGGTGGTATACACTACACCTATTCCTAATTTGAATTTAGAGTCTCCCATGCCATCTAACTCTGAGCAGCCATCAGATCCTGTAAGGCCGCCAATAATTCACGTGTATAGTAGGCAGCGACGACCTACATCAGCTCCCGATCCGATACCATCTTCACCTGCAAGTCCAAGTTACTTTGGGGAAAATAGATCAACCACTTTTTTTGTATATATCTTTGGGGAAAATGACATAACTTATCTAATCATGTATGCTAGACATAACTTATTGAATCATTTGCTCTATCCACAATAGATCAACTACAATCTTAACTACGTCCTTGGAACTCTTATGCCTCTTAGTCTCTCACTTATCTTTAAATTAAGATGAGAATTTTTAACGGCCAAATTAGGTCCAATCAATTATTTTCTCAACATCGTAGTCATCCAACATAATGACCATAGTCTCTCTCAATGTCAAAATAAATGCACACAAGACAATGTCGAACAAATCTATATGTATGAGTATAAGTCTTCATAGTTTCATGTCGACTCTAAACCAAAACTAAGTGCCATCGTCTAAAAACCAATTGACAACCCTATGATACATTGAAGTCATTGCATTATCATAGGTCATTCAACGCCTCTACATTCGGTTATTGTTTCTTCTTTGTAGACAACCTCATCTCACGATCCTAAAAAAACAACCTAATTTGTCGAAATCAAGCATCGATCTGGAATATTAAGGAGTTGTTAACCTTGTCACTGAAAAAAATTCACTACGAAATCTTGTACTCGAGCTACATCCGTGGTGGCTGCCTTAAAAACCTATTCTGATGGCAAGTAGTTATGATGGCTCCTGACCCATCATGAAAGGCGAGAGCCACACTTTTCTATTGTGGTAATGTTGGCATAAAATATTTCTACAACAACCCATTATTACAACACAAACATGCTGAAATGGACGTTCATTTTGTACGAAAAAGAATTGCACGTAGTCAAGTTAGAGTTCTTCATGTACCATCAAGGTAGCAATATGCATACATCTTCACTAAAGGCCTCACACACCCAATATATATGATGGGATTTGTATAGTGATGGATCATCAAGAATTATACACTATCAATACTTTTAGATATATGTTTTAAACCAAATGTGCAGGTGTTTGTGGAGGAAGTTATGAATTTGATCGAGTTAAATTCCATAAGGAATTTGCTAGTCGGACTTCCAGGTGTAGATGGTCTCTCGACTGAACAAAGAAAGAGACTCACAATAGCCGTTGAGTTGGTTGCTAATCCTTGCATTATCTTCATGGACGAGCCCACATCAGGGCTCGATGCAAGGGCTGCAGCCATTGTCATGCGAACAGTCAGGAACACCGTTGATACAGGTAGAACAGTTGTCTGCACAATTCACCAACCAAGCATCGACATTTTTGAAGCATTTGATGAGGTGATACAACACTACATCTTGTCGTTAATTTAACTTTCTATTAATTAATTAAAACTTGCTAAAATTAATTTTGATAAATATGTTGCAGCTTTTGTTGATGAAAAGAGGTGGTCAAGTTATTTACACTGGACCTCTCGGACACCATTCCGACCTACTAATCGAATACTTCCAAGTGAGTGTATTGTACCCTTTAACAATCGCAACACCTCAAAAAAAACCTCCATCTTCTTATCTTTCTTTGCACCTTCATCCTCCTATATATTTTTCAGTCAATTCCAGGGGTTACCGAGATAAAAGATGGTCAAAATCCAGCGACATGGATGCTTGATGTCAGTTCTTCCATGGTTGAAGCTCATCTTGGTATTGATTTCGCAACAACCTATGCTAATTCAGAACTGTATAGGTATGTATTCGATCCAAATCTATATCTTCAACCCTACTTTTTCATGTTTTAGATCAAATTAAACCTCAACTAATCTGTTAAACAGGAGGAACCAGGAGCTCATAAAGGAGCTGAGCACACCAGCACCAGGATCCCGAGACCTCCATTTTAAGACAAAGTACTCACAATCGTTTTTCACACAATACAAAGCATGTTTTTGGAAACAACGTTTGTCTTACTGGAGACATCCACAATACAATGTTGTTCGGTTCTTAATGACAACCATAATCGGGATTATTTTCGGGATAATCTTCTGGAACAAAGGCCAACAAACGTAAGCATTAAACATCAAGAATTTAAAGCTCTTTATTTATTTTTTTGTACACATATCATCTCGATGATGATGGGTTTTAACTTTTAATTAATTTTCTTGACAGGAGTCGACAACAAGATCTAATGAACATGTTGGGAGCAATGTATGCTGCTGTTATGTTTCTTGGAGGAACCAATACTTCTTCTGTACAAGCTGTAGTATCCATTGAAAGAACCGTTTTCTATCGCGAGAAAGCTGCAGGGATGTATTCACCACTCCCATATGCATTTGCTCAAGTAATAACAACAATTAGAGTTAAATTTGTGATGTGTTATTGATTTTAAATTTTAAATTTTAAATTTAACTATCTATTTATAAAATTTCAGGTTGCAATCGAGGTGATTTATGTTTGCATTCAAACGTTCATTTACAGTCTTCTACTTTTCTTGATGATTGGATTTGCATGGTCAGCTAGAAAGTTCTTCTGGTTCTACTTCTTTGTGTGTATGTGCTTCACTTACTTCACATTATACGGGATGATGCTTGTAGCCCTCACTCCAAACTACCACATTGCTGCCATTACCATGTCCTTCTTCCTCAGTTTCTGGAACTTGTTCTCTGGCTTTCTTATCCCTAGAACAGTAAGTTGACACTCAACACTAACTTTATAAGTTATTAACTCTAAATTTGTGAAGAAAAATGTGATAAATGAAGGAATATTATAATTAATTTGCAGCAAATTCCGATATGGTGGAGGTGGTATTACTGGGGTTCTCCGGTGGCTTGGACATTGTATGGGCTTATTACATCTCAAGTTGGTGAAAATGAGAATCTTGTTGAAGTTCCTGGAGCTGGTTCCATGTCTGTGAAGGTGTTCATCAAGAGTTTCTTGGGATATGATTATGATTTTCTTCCTTATGTTGCCATGGCTCATGTTCTTTGGGTTGTTCTCTTCTTTATTGTCTTTGCTTGTGGAATCAAATTTCTTAATTTCCAAAAACGATAGATATTAAAGAGTGTCCATTTGGTAAATTTGTGTAACCAGATTTTGTTAGTATTAATAGAGGTTTTTGTATCTTTGTTTTTTTTTTTTTCTTTTATATAGAGTTTACATGTTTGTTTCTTAAATTTAATATAAAGAAAAAAACTAACAATCCCACAAACCAAAAATGCCACAAACATATTAAAACCATTTTATAATATTAAAACAAAGTTCTTAGATCAAAACGTGGGGATTATACAATCTCTTTGTGGGATTAAAACTAAGGAATAATAGCATAGATATGAAGTGAAAGCCAATAAAAAAAAGTATAATAAGCTCTAAAGAAGAGTTTTTTCTTGTTCTTTTTTCACTCAGGTTTCACAGGAGCATCAGCAATGTCCTTAATTTCCTTCTTGCTCTTAATGGAACATTTCCTTTTTGTATCAAAATCAACTTTATCCAAATCTTCAGCAATACCCATGTACCCAAACACTACTCTCTCACCCTCTTTATCTCCATTATTCCCATTTTCACCCTCCCCATTTTTGCTTTTCCCTTTTCCGGAAATTATTTGTTCAAGATATTTCCTTCCATGTTTATTCTTGACAAAATATTCATGAATCTTTTCTGCTTCTTGTAGCCCAGAAAACGTAGCCAAAAACTTCACCAACATTATGCTGCAATTTGCATGTTTCCCAAGTCTAACTTTCCCACCACTCAAACCTTTACCTGGATATAACAAAAAAGTTGACACCAAAAAAAAAAAAATGATAAAATCCGTTTTATAAAGATAACAAATTTGCAAAACTACTTTACCTCTCAGAAACTGTCCGAGTTCTTCAATGGATGTGGGTCCCACTCCGCTGGCATTTGAGTCATTGTTCAAGATTGATATGTTATGAACTATGACAAGTGGAGGCCAGATTATTAGATCTTCTTTTTGGGCCAAAGATTCATTAGAGGAAAGAGGTTCTGGAAACCATCTAATGGTTTCTTGAGGTAATAAAGAACCATTCCACCCTAACATATAACAAATCGCCTTGTGAAGTGCTAAATGTTGTGCTCTTAATCCAACTTTTCTTGACATGAAAGCATGCATTGCTAACCTTTGTGTGTCCATAAACTCTTTTGAAAGACTGAAACAAAGTTAAAAGCAATTGGAAAGTGAGATTGAGTACATAGAAACACACATCATTTCATTTTCAACCATATTATATTATGTAAGGTAATACTATGAAAGAGATAAAACGTTTTTTTAGTCTCTGCAAACTCCACCAAATGCCATTTATGATTTTTGAGCTAATAATAACACAGAGTCACAGACCTTCTGCCACAAACGATGCAGAATAAGCTACCTCCTCTCCCTTGCTCCATGTATCTTCTTCTCACACTTGAGTTTTCATTCAATTTTTTTGTGAAAGATAAGAAGAAATCATGTACAAGTTGTTTGAATTCTTGAGAGTCTTCACGTGGTTCTGATTTTGCAACATTTGACCAATCTTCATACTGATCGATTCCACCAGAGTACATGTCATTGTCATTGTCATTGTCATTCTCAATGTCAACTTCACTTCTTCTTGGTAGATTCTTCCATTTGGAAAGAGCATGCTTTTTGTTTTGATGGTGTGAATTAGAATTAGAATTATAACCACCAGATCTTGAATACCCTTTTGCATATTTATCTTCAAATTTCATAGGATGATGATGATGATGATGATCATGCATGAGTTCTTCTGTTTCATCATCGTAAATCCTGTCTACCCTTCTACTGAACCCATGGTCATGGATATGGTCCCTTCTTTTAGTATAATGTGAACCTCTGGTTTCTTGATCTATCCATTCCTCATCTACCCACTCCTCATCACTAAAATCTTGATTGTGTCTTCTAGAAGTAATTGGAATCCTATTTTCTTCATCATCCACTATGTATTTCCTCTTCATAAACCTACTTGATGAGTCATATGGAGAAAGGTCATGTCTTTCTTCCATCCTATGTGTTCTTTCAGTAGGTCTAATCCTTTCCATTTCATATAAGAATCTTGGTGAATCTCTTCTTCTTTCCTTATGAGATTCTATACCTACATCATGTTTATAATCATAATCTACTCTCACATGTCCTATTTCATGATCTTGTGGCATACCCATGTATGGAATTTCCTCTTCTCTAGATATTTTCCTCCCAATACGTGTGTGAACACTATCTGGATCAAGATACTTTGTATGTTCTCTTTTTTCAATGTTATGTGTAGCTGGTGGCTTCTCCAAAGAAAGATACTCCAATGAAGTTCTACTCCTGTGAGAAAAATCAGATGCTTCTGCTCGATGTGTGACATGTTCCAACATATTTGGTTTCAAGATCTCCCTATCCCTGTAGTCCACTCTCTCACGCATATCCATCTTTTCATACATGTCATCAGATGGATATAAGTAGTCATCTCTTTCTTGTATTCGTGGTTGAAGATGTAAAGAGTCAAGATGTCTGGTTCTTGGAGGACTAAATGTGTCATGATGGTATTGACCTGTATCCTCATTGTAGTCCAGATACGGGTCTCTTCCATGGTCCAAATGCTGCCTTTGTTCATACCTGGAGGGAGACAAAGGGTGTGAATGTGATGTATTTGAAGAGTTCAATGGATGGTTGTCTCTTGATAAAGGTATGTCATTTCGATAACCTAAATGATCAATTCTTGACTTTTGTGGAGATGTTCTTGTATAATCCTTCATGTGAGATGCACTCATTGATTCCTTAGACCTAGATGCTGGCAAATTTGAGTAAGGGGGATCCCTCAGAAGAACCATATGTTTATCCCCATCATCCCCATATTGCTTCATAGATGAGTATTTATCGAATGAAAATGAGCCTCGGGTATCTGGGTACCTAAATCTTTCTTTATCAGGGTGTTCTAAACCAATGTTCAGTGATGATGATGAGATATCTTTACTGCTTTCAGGTCTGGAGGTGGGTCCCATTCCCACTTCTCGGGTTGATCTGTAGAGTCCTGTAAATGCTGATTTCCCACTCACCATTTCACCCATCCCACTGTCGATCCTCCTACCTTCAAATTTGTCATCTATTATAGCTGTTCTGGAAGAACCCCGGCCATAACTGAACTCATTCCTGGTAGGAGAATCAACATCACCACGTTTCATGTCCATATGATCGAAGAACTCATATCTTGATTGTCGTTCACCAGCAGATAAGTTTCTATCAACAATCCAATCGTCGTTGTAGAAAGGGCGTGCTCTTTTGGCCTCTAGAATAGGAGGTGACCTAGATCGAATTCTTCTACTACCATCGTCCACAAGCCTTCTTCTCTCCATGGAATCACCCCTATGACGAATCAACACCCGGTCGGAGTAAGAAGGATGTTCCATTCTCCGAGGGCTCCAACTCCTCTTCGAGCGAGGCGACCTTATTAAGTAACCATCTGGAACGTGATCAGTGTTGCGACGGCCGCGTCCATAAGAAGATTCGGAAGCATAATCTTCGTGTCTTCGAGATTGCATACCTTCGTCTCAGAAAAACCCCAAAATGTCTAACCCTTAAATTCCTAATTTCCACTAATCAACTATATGATCTATGAAATGTTTTTTTTACTGCTGATCGTAAACGAGTACATAAACAAAGATTCCAAAAAATTCAGTCGGGAACAAACTAAAATCAAAAGTTCTAACACATCTAAATGACTAAACACACTGACATAAATCTATCTAATTCAAACCTTTTATGAGTTGATTCTGAGCATCCATAGTTGTATTAAGCATGTGATGTTCATATCGTGTAGCAATCTCATCCATTCTCCGATCGATTAGTATCTTGCAGAGAGAACTACACCCGTAAATCGTATGTGATCGTGTGGGACTGGGGGGTATCAATGGAAGAAGCCGAGAAGTTTGAGTAGCTGGCCAGTGGGCTTTGGGATATGGTTAGATTAGATAATTAGAATAGGATCGTTGGATCTAATAATGGGCCGGATTACTTCTCATTCCATGAAACGTATTTTCTTTGAAATTTGGTTCATATGATTTGTAGATATATATGGTTATAGTCATTGCAAATTTGCAATCTTAAAATTATAAATTTTATTTTTTAGTACGTTTTGTTGTGGTTTCATTCCTTAGAGCTAAATAGATAATCAGCATTAACTTTTATTCGTTAGCACACCCCACTAGTGGCGGCCCTAGGGTGTGCGGGTTGTGCAGTTGCACGGAGTCACCGATTTTTAAAGGCCTCCGAATTTAAGGATAAAATTATAGTTATAGTGTTGATATTTCCATAAAATACATTTTTATGTATTATCATAAAAGAAAATTATCCCCATCAAGTATATACATAATATAAAATTTAGTTGCAATTTTTAAGTCAATCTGATTATAAAAGAAAACTAACGAAAATAAATAAATAAAAATCAAAAATTGTATCCTTGCATGAATTCTAAAATTTATCTAAGGAAAGTATGTGTCATTGGATTGCTGGTATTACTGGTCTTTTGTTCGAAACTATCATTTTGCTGTTTTGAACCTTGATATCTCGTCAGGCAAAACTTCAATCTGAGATTATGCGTATTGATGATGTAATAAAAAGTATGGGATACTTATTGAGTTTTTTAAAGACTACCGAGAGAATGTGTTTGAGAAGACTTTGAATTGTGCCAGAGATATAGCTTCTAATTTGAGAATTGAACAAATGTTTCTTCATAAAAATAATAAAAGAATAATATTTAATAAAAGACATTTTGATGAGAGTGACCTTGGACCGTCAGAACTGATACATGAGTTTTCACCTCAAGAATCATTTAGGATTCAATATTCTGTGTACATATGCGATCAAGCATTTTGTGTACATAGGTGATCAATGTATTGGTTTACTGGATCGAATGTTTAAACAAAACAAACAATATGCAGACATTTTTGGTTTATTATTCATAGCAGAAAAATTAAAGTCACTGAGTACTAGTCAGGGACGGGCCTACACCCCACATACTGATTATGTCAAGGTTAGAATTTTTTTTTTTTTTCAAATTTCCCTTTAGCTCCATGTTATCCTTTATAATTTTAACGACTCATTTGATTTCACCAAACATTTTTTTTATTCTCTTCCTTCTTGTGCACACTTAAGGCATAAGGAAAATCAAGCATCGTTGTGCTTTAGTGGAATAGTCATTATTGTGAAAACTCTATAAATGGTGCTCAATCTCAACAGACAGTTTTCCACATAAACTAAACTCGTAAGTCAAGTTCTATAACTTTGTGGGTTTTTCTTACATAAAAGAGACAATATTTTGGTTTTCTTTCCCATGCCCTAAATGTTGTTATTTTTGAAAATGTAGGAGCTAAAGTGCGGATTTCATGGAGAGGTTGACCCATCAATGTGTGCAATGTCGATGACTATTATCCAAATTCTCTTAAGAACATTAGTAAGTTGGAAACATCCATCTAATTGTTGAATTTTGAAATGATTAAGATGAAGATTTATATGTTATACGACAAAACTGCAAATTTGGTCCTTGTGGTTTGCAAAAATCTTTAGATGGGGTCCAAAAAGTTTCCGGCTTGCACAGAATGTCTAAAATCAAAGTTTTCTTGGGTTTTTGATCCTAAACTTAACAAATTTTTGTATTTTTGGTCCATGGAGCATTTGAATTGATGGTTTTGCCCTTTAAATTTCTTTTTTTTTTGTATATTTATTTTATAAATATTAATGCAAAAAAGGAATTAATTTAGCTCACCCCATCTCTCTCTTTACCCACCCCACCGGAGCCCTCCCCTTTTCTCTTTCTTCCTCCTCCTCATCCTCCTCCTCCTCCTCCTCCTCCTCTCTCTCTCTCTCCCCCCCTGTAAATGGAGGGGGTAGATGTCTTTATTGTCTCAAACTTAGGTAGATTAGGGTTTATCGTGCCTTTGGTTATTTCTTGATCAAGCAAAGGAACAAAAAACGATCGAACGATCGCATTAAGAAGGAAGTGTGGAGGCAAATGTGATTTGGATCTGGTGGCTGCTGATCTTTCGTCAAGACCTCCAGTGGTTCTCTGGCGGTCAGAATAACAATAGCAGCAACACGTGGTGGCAGTGAGTGGTGGTGGATGGCTTTCGATGGCAGCTCCGCTGCCTCTTCTTTCTATCATCCAGAAGCACATGACGAGGAAAGGAAAGAGGGGAAGCAACAACTGTTTGACGAGAGAGGAAAGGTTTGGGTGGAGGGTTGATTGATGAAAACAGTGGGTGCTTGGCTGATTCAGTCGACAAAAAAAAGGGTGTCGTCCGATCATATGTTTTCTTCTTATTCTTATTCTTCTCTTTTGTTTTGTAAGAACTCGATGAATGGGAAAAGGGTTTTTGGGTTTCATGTTTGACAACCTCGTTGTCTCGCCGGATGCGGCTCCATCTCTAGAGAAGCTTCTTAACTAAAATCAAGAAGAAAACGAAGGGAGAAGTTGAAGATGTTGGCCAATTGCAAAGAGGAAGAAAGCATATCTTGTTCCCGTCTTCATTTGATTTGGAATGAAAGGAGCATGATTGAAATAATGGAAGAACGAACGAAAGGAAACAATCAAGGTGGATCGATCGTTATTCACAGAAATGGGGGGGATGCCATGGTGATCTGCTAATTAGGGTGGAAACAATAGCTTTGGCTATTTGCTGTTGCTGCTTTTTTTTATTATTAGATAAGAAATGAGAAAGAGAGAGAGAGAGAGAGAGAGAGAGAGAGAGAGAGAGAGGGTATCAGTAGGGGTGGAGTGGCGGTCTGTCCTTTTTGTTTTTTATTTTTATTTCATAAAGTATTAAAATAAATAAGAAAATAAAATACAAAACTGAAATTAAAAGCGTAAAAAGGTAATTTTAAATTTTTTTTGGACCAAAAACCAAGAAAAACCTTGATTTTGGACCTTATGTGCAAGTCGGAAACTTTTTGGACCCCATCCAAAGATTTTTGCAAACCACAAGGACCAAATTTGCAGTTTTGTCTTGTTATACGGTTAGCAAGGTTTTGAAAATCGAACCATACATTAAACCGACTATCTTACTAGTTCGATGGTTCAACTGGTCCGACCGATTTGACCGGTCCAAAAAACCAAAAAAATCGATATATATATATATATATATATATATATATATATATATATATATGTGTGTGTGTGTGTGTGTGTGTTGTTTTTTTCTTTACAAACACACATATGTATCTATATTACATTATAAAAGAAATATCATTATTTTTAAAAATAGCTTGAATATAATTATATTTTTTAAGACGTTCAAATGTTTAAGCTTAAAGTACAACCAATGTTCTAAAAAGCTCTATGGCTCCGCCATGGGACGTCACGGCTCCAAGGCTTGCACCTGCCGCCAAGCTTTGCCAAAATGCCTCCTTAACTTATATATATGTATAAAAATGAATAATAGTTGAAAATACATATAAAAATATTTATTATATAGAAAATTATCGCCTTAAGTCACGCCTTACAAACGTTATGATTCGCCAACACTCGGAAAAGCTTGAGGTTTGACATTACCGCCAAGTCACGCTTACATTATCTAGAACATTGAGTACAACAAATCATTAATATAATAATATTATAATTTAAATAGTCCGAAATTTTAAACTAAATGTACAAATATTTAGTGCATAAAATAAGTAATAATCCTATAAAAAGTTATTATTCTTTGTTCAAACCATGACTTCTATCACTAATTGATAGCACAAATTAAGGATATATGGTTACATTCACTTCGGCTTTGAATTACAAAATTTCCTAATATGTCGTCTCATACTCTTAAATGATGATCACACTCTCTCATCTTTTCTCTCCAAAATCGAATGTTGATGCCCCTTTATCTCCGTCATCGCAACCACCACTCGCCTCCTTCTTTCTTCCTTAACTGGTGACTAACAACACCACACACCGCCGTCTCCACCACCACACACCGATGTCTCCACCACCTTTCTCACGTCACATGGATTGAATTGTAACCCCTCGCTTTCAATAATTGAATCGGTTAAAACCCTTTTGAACTCTCGCATTCGGTGACCAATGCCACCTGCTAAAGATGTAGACAACGACCACTTTTGTTTTGATCTATGTCACAGGTTAGATTTTTCTCATACATGTGGAGTCAATCGAACTTTTTGCAAGATTTGAAGATTGAAGCGATGTAGAACTATTCAACCGGTTTACATGATTTAAAGATTGTAGCGATGAAGAATTGTTCTACCATAAGCATTTACCATTGATTATTGTTATGATTTTCATTTCGTTTTCTGATGAACTCCCACTTGGAAAAGTAATATTTTCTAAAGACCTCTGCAAGATCTGGTTTGCTTTTAGCTAATTCAAGGTAACTTCTTGATACTCAATGTTTCTCACTTCCTCGCATCCATTCTTTCTTCCCAGACGAAAAATTGTGTTTTTTTAATCACTCTCAGGATCTGAGATGTCTCTATTCTGAAACCCTAATGCCAAAGTGTCATACAAATCAATTATACTTCACATAAACATCAATGTCGTTAA